TTAACCATTATCTCTTATTGAAGTGTGGAAACATGTTTGGAATGCATGAAGCAACCTAATACAGATACCTTATATTTTTTTTATTATCTTATGTGTATGAATGTTTGCCAGCATGGATGTTAAATGTACCATATGTGTGCAGTGCCCATAGAGGTCAGAAGGTGGCATCAGAGCCCCAGAACTGGAGTTAACAGGTTATTAACCATTAACTGGAGATGTGGTACCTTTTTCTTACCTCCCCAGGTATTTAACAGCTGTTAACCACCATATGAGTGCTGGGACCCAAGCTTGCTATGTGGACCAGGCTAGCCTCAAACTCACAGAAGTCCACCTGCCTCTACCTTCCGAGTGCTAGGATTAAAGGCATATACCCAACATTTAAAAAATATTTTATTATTTTTATTTTATGTGTATGACTGTATTGCCTGCATGCATGTGAGTGCACCTGTGTTGTACAATGCCGTGGAGGTCAGAAGAGGGCTTTGGATTCCCCTGGAACTGGAGTTAAGGACAGTTCATAGCTGCCATGTGGGTGCTGGGAATGGAACCTGGGTCCTCTGCAAGAGCAGTCAGTGCTCTTAACTGCTGAGCCATCTCTCCAGCCCCTATACCCAACATTTTTAAAAAAATGTTTAAAATGCCCAACATTTAAAAAAAAATTTTTAAATAAACTTACATTTTTCAGATTTTTAATATTGATTGATTGATCGTGTGTATGTGAGGCTCCTAGGGCAACTAGCAGGAGTCAGTTCTCTTCTTATGTCATGAGGGACCCAGAGATTAAGAATGGTTAAGAACACTGGCTATTCTTGAAGAAGACCCGGGTTCAAATCTGAGCACCCACATGGTAGCTAACAACTGTTCATAACTCCAGTTCTAGGAGATCTTACGGTTTCTTCTGTCCTCTGTGGGCATTGCTCAACACGGGTGCACTTATATACATATAGGCAATACATGCCTACACATAAAATAAAAATAAAAATTTTTTAAGAAGGAAGAAAAGTGATTTACAAAAAAAATTATTTTAGAGGCTGAGCGTGGTGGCGCACGCCTTTAATCCCTGCACTTGGGAGGCAGAGGAAGGCGGATCTCTGTGAGTTCAAGGCCAGCCTGGTCTACCTAGTGAGTTCCAGGACAGCTGGGGCTACAGGGAGACCCTGTCTCAAAAAGACAAAAATATATATATATATAAATTTTTTTTTTGGGATGCAGCAGATAAGAGTATTTGCTGCTCTATCATGAGGACCAGAGCTTGGATGTAAGGACCCATGTCAGGTAGCTGACAAATGATTGTAATTCCAGTTCCAAGGAATCCAACACCTTCTTCTGGCCTCTGTGGGCACCCTCACACACACATGCACATATAATCGCACAGACACATATACTTAATAAAAATAAATCCTAAAAAAAATTTGTTTTAGGAACTAGAGAGCTGGCTCAGTGGCCAAGAGCACTGGCTACTCTTGTAGAGGGCCCAGGTCTGGTTCCCAGCACCCACATGGCTGCTAATTGCCATTCTTACCTCCACTTCCAGGGGATCTGATGCCCTCTTCTGATCTCAACAGGCTCTGCACTCACACAGCACATTTATATAAGGTGAAACACTCATACACATAAAATAAATTTAAAAATAAAATAAACAATTATTTTAGCCAGGTATCTAGTGCATGTCTGTGATCTCAGCACTAAGGAGGCAGATGCAGGAAGACTGCCACAAAGTTTGAGGCCAGCCTGTTCTACATAGTGAGTTCCAGGCTACCCAGGGTTACACAGCAAGACCCTATCTCAAAACAACAATTAAAAAAATTTTAAACATTTTATTTTATAAAGCAGAAGATTTTCATTTGGTTTATGAAGGCCTTGTGGGCAGTTGCTAAGTGATTGGGAAATCAAATAGTTCAACAGAATTAAAATCATGCTGCAACAACAAAAAGAAATTACATATTTAGATTCTAGGCCTCTGCTGGAGAGATGGTTCAGTGGTCAGGAGCACTTGCTGCTCTTCCAGAAGACCCAAGTTTGGTTTCCAGCATCCATTCAGGCAGCTCATAGCCATCAATAACTCCACTTCCAGGGGATTCTCTTCTGGCCTCTGCAGGCACTCCCACACACATGGCATATACTCACACAGACACAGACACAGACACATACATAAATTTTTTTTAAATATTTTTTTAATTACTAGAATATATATTTATTTATTTTTTATTTTTTTGGTCTTTTTGGGACAGGTTCTCCCTGTAGTCCCAATTGGCCTGGAACCCACTATGTAGACCAGGCTGGCCTTGAACTCACAGAGATCCACCTGCACATGCCTTCTGAGTACTGGGCTAAAGGTGTGCACCACCATGCCCGACTTAGAATATATATTATCTGTGCTGTGTATAAAGGAGTGTATAATAGGAGGGGCAGGAGAGACTCAGCAGTTGAATGCAATTGCTACTCTATCAGAGGACTCAAATTCAGTTCGCAGCATCCAAGTCTGGTGGCCCACAACTGCCTGTAACTCTAGCTCCAGAGGTTTAGACACCTTCCTCTGGCTTCTGTGGGTACACACACAAATGTGGCATATGTAGGCACATAAATAAAAATAAATCTTTTTTTGTTTGTTTCTTTGTGACAAGGTCTCACTATGGAGCCCTGGCTGGTCTGGAACTTGTTATGTAGACCAAGCTGGCTAAAAATTCACAGAAATCTCCCTGCTTCTGCTTCCCAAGTGCTGAGACTAAAGGTTTGTGCCACCATACTGTGCTTAATAAAAAATAAAAAAATTTTTTGGTCTTTTTGAGACAGGGTCTCCCTGTAGCCCCAGCTGGCCTGGAACTCGCTATGTAGACCAGGGTGGCCTTGATCTCACAACAATCACTAGCCTTTGCCTTCTGAGTGATGGGGCTAAAGGTGTGCACTACCACATCTAGCTAAAAATAAATTTTGTCTAATACAATAGTGGTCACTAGATAGCTGGGTGTGGTGGTGCATGTCTTTAATCCCAGCACTTGGGAGGTAGAGGCAGGTGATCTCTGTGAGTTTGAGGCCAGCCTGGTCTACATAGTAAGTTCTAGGTCAGCTGGGGATACCCTGTACCCACCAAAAAAAATAGTCACTAGACAAATAAGGGTCTTTAAATTTTCATTAATTAAAATAAAATTTAAACTGGGTATGGTGGGAGTGCCTTTAATCCCAGCACTTGGGAGGCACAGGCAGGCGGATCTCTGTGAGTTCATGGCCAGCCTGGTCTACATAGCAAGTTCCAGATTAGGTGGGGGCCACAGTTAGACCCTGTCTCAAAAAGACCAAAAAAAAAAAATTAAAATTAAAATTCAGGCACTCCATCACACAAACCACATTTTAAGTACTTAACAGCTCTTATGTGGTTAGCTGCTACTGTGCTAGAAAAGAAAGTTACAGCAAAAGGTTAGATATCACTGATCTATACACTTTGCTCCATATGAGGAAGAAGAAAACAGCTACTGCCTTCTTTCCAAGGCAGAAAACACTTTAGAGTAGCAGCTTTCTGTGTTAAAATACCTTAGTTTGATGGTTTTACCTCCCTGAGTTCTGAAGATGCCAGTGTCCTGTTGGTTCTCTACTGTTCATACCTCTAAACACCAATCTTGTTATCTCTAGCTTCCAATGTTTCATCAATAAGCTTGGTTTTCCAAACAATTAAGGAAAAGGAATTTACTGAGGGATGTAAATAAGTAATTGTTCCTTCACAGCACAGTAAAGAACAGTGTCTGATTTCAGGATGAACAGCACTGGAAATAAGCACATGACATACTAAAGTGTCAAACTAAAGGTCACTGATGCTGTAAATTACTTAATTTTGACCTTTATCTCTTGTTTCTGTAAATAGGAAGATTTGACATTATGAGGTGTTGGTGTGTGTACTAGGAGGGGAGAAATGAGGGAACGGGACAGGGAAAGGAATGGGGAGAGGGACAGGATGAGAGGAAAAGGGAAGGGAGAGGATGAGAAAGAAGGAGAAGGGGAAGGGAAGGAGGAGGAGAAAGGGAGACACAGAGATGGGAAGGAGGATGATATGTAGAGAATAAGTTTAATATCATTACTAAAAGATTTCTGTATTTGAACTGACAGAATGATTAAACACAACACAGGCCATGAGGGAGTTCACATTTATTCAGGAAGACTTTTTGAATGCAGGATGTCAAACCAGGCAACTTATCAACATTCTTTCTAGATTTATTGTAGTCATAGTAAAACAAATTACACACTATGCCGAGGAAAGAAGTAATTTTTTTTATATTTATTATTTTTATTTTATGTGTATTCATGTATTGCCTGCATGTAGGTAAGTGCACTGCAATGCCCGCAGTGGTCAGAAGAGGCTGTCGGATCCCCTGGGACCGGAGTTATGGACAGTTGTTAGCTGCCATGTGGGTGCTGGGATTCGAACCCAGGTCTTCTGCAAGAACAACCAGTGTTCTTAACCACTGAGCCATCTCTCCAGCCCCGAAAGAAGTAATTTTTAAAGCCACAAAAATTAAGCAGGCATGACTGAGGCACATCTATAATCCCAATACTGTGGAGGTGGCAGCAGAATGATCAGAGGTTCAGTCATCCTCAGTTACACAGAGTTCAAGGCTATCCTAAAAAATGAGGCCCTGTCTGAATGTCCCCGAGACAAACAAACAAACAAACAAACAAAATCACAAAAATTATACATACATATATCTCAATCAAACCATACATGTGTATTTCAGAATAGAATAATTTAAAAAGCATTTATATTGGGTCTTCGAAAGCATAATAAAACTTGGAGATTGTGGGATTTCTCATCTTGTTCTAGTTTGAGACTGAAATTAAAATTTGAGTCTCAAACATCTCCTGATGTATGATGAAGAAAACACTAGGAAACAGTTTAGAATTTTAAATTGGCCACACATAACATACAAAGTACACACAGGTAACTTATAATACACACAGGTAACTAAGATTCACCACTAGCTCTAATCCTTTGATATTAGATTAACACTTACTCTAAAGATGCCAATCCAGTCCTTTCGACGGGGGATGAAAGGTTGGGTGAAGGTGTAGTAGCACGTGATATCCCCTCCAGGGACATAGAACTTCTCCACACTGTTAAAGACGACCTGAGAGAAATTACAATGCTCCAACAAGACAGCCGATATGGGGGGGTCATCCATTGTCTTTTCCATGGTGTCCTATTAGGAGACATGGAATAGAATACATGAAAATCTGCCTCAAAAAAAAAAATTTAAAGATATGTAATAGATTAGGGCTCAAAAGGGTTTGCTGGAGATTTCTGGGCTCTCACCCAAGAGCATTCCATTTAAGGCAATCGGGAAAAGCAAACGCCTGACAAGTACTGAGACATGCGACTTGCTTTCTGTTTCACTTTGAGCCACTGCACATTCATAACTTCCTATGCTGTAAGGATTTTCAGAGACTATCTTTAACCTCTTCACCACAGGCACTACCCCTCCTGCACCCTCATCCTTTGCTCACAGCTAGTGAATTCTTGTTCTTGTAAATAAATAAGCCAGCCAGAAGAAATAGCCAAAACTGGGAATTTTGAGACCTAAATCCTGGTTTTCATCCCAGCAAACCCTATGACTTTAGAGAAGTTAATCTCTTTGGATTCTTCTTTCCATTCTATTTCATTTATCCCACAGGAATCAGACCCTTCAGATATAAGACACTATGCCAGAGCTGAGTAGCGGATTCAGGACAAAGATAGAAGCAAGAGATTATGTGACATGCAATGGTGACAAAATGGGTTCTGAAATCAGAATGGCGATTTTCAAGTTCCAGTTCCTTTCTCTCTCCTCTTTCCCTTTCCTCCTGCTCTCTTGTACCCGCTCTCTCACTAAATAAGTAAATAAATAAATAAATATTTAAAAACCAATAAATAAATAATTTCTTAAAACCCAGTTTGTGCTGGGCATGGTGGTGCACATCTTTATTCCCAGCACTTGGGAGGCAGAGGCAAGTGAATCTCTGTGAGATCGAGTTCAGCCTGGTCTATACAACGAGTTCCAGGCCAGCTGGGACTAGAGGGAGATCCTGTCTCAAACAAAAGTAGAACAAAACAAAATTTAAAAAAACAACAATTTGTCAAACCTAAAAAACTTTTTTTTTTTAAAAAAAAAAAAGTGGATACAACTGGTACAAAAACAAAAGTTTTAGGGAGTATAAGGAAGACTTGGAGTTTGACAAGTGGGTTTGTGAAGAGGGCATTACAGCAGAAGGAAATAACATCTGTAAGAGTAAAGCAGCAGGGGCTGAAGCGATGGCTCAGTGATTAAGAGCACTGGCTGCTCTTGCAGAGGACCCGGGTTCAATTCCCAGCACTCACATGAGGCTAACAACCATCTGTAACTCCAGTTCCAAGGAACCTGGGAACCTGACACTCTCTTCTGAGCTCCTCGGGCATTGCACGACACGGGTGCACTCTCACACATGCAGGCAATACACTCATACACATAAAATAAAAATGATAAATAAAACATATATTTATTTATTTATTTTAAAAAAGAGTAAAGCAGCAGAAATATGAAGCCCGAGTCCAGAAGACAGTAAAGAATTTTGGAGTCCTTTCTATAAAATGAAGATAATAAACCGTGTCTTGTTTTCTGATCATAGTATACAGATAAAATATGATCAGAAGGCTGAGTATGGTGGTACATACTTTTAATCCCAGCACTCGGAAGGCAGAGGCAGGCGGATCTCTGTGAGTTCAAAGCCAGCCTGGTCTACATAGCAAGTTCCAGGTCAGCTGGGGCTACAGGAAGACCCTGTCTCAAAAAGACAAAAAAGAAAAAATAAATAAATAGAAGGATCAGAAAACGGGAAACTAGGGCTGGGTATATAGTTTAATGTGCTTGCCTAGTGTGTGCAAGGCCCTGGGTTCACATAAAAGGCCTAGCATTAGAAAAAAAATGAAAAAGTAAAAATAATAAAATAAAAATAATAAATAAAATATGTTTTAAAAAAACTCAAAAGAAACAAAGCGGGGGGGGGGTTAGGAGAGATGACTCAGTGGTTAAGAGCACTGGCTGCTCTTGCAGAGGACCCAAGTTCAATTCCCAACACCCATATGGTGGCTAACAACCCCAGTTCCAAGGGATCTGATGCCTTTTTCTAACCTCTGTGGGCATTGCATGACACATGCGTACTTACACACATGCGGCAATGCACTCATACACATAAAATGATAAATAAAATATTTTAAAATTTTTAAAATAAAGAAACAAAGAGGGGGTGGAGAGATGGCCCAGCAGTTAACAGCTCTTGCTGCTCTTCCAGAGGAACCACATTGGGTGGCTCACAGCCACCTGTAACTCGAGCTCCAGGGGATCCAACACCATCTTCAGGCCTCCATAGGGAGACACACACACACACACACACACACACACACACACACACAAAAATAAATGAATCTTTAAAATAAAGGAAACAGAGTCTGAACTGCTGACACTACAATACTACATGATAACTTATATGTTCAGCCAGTGGACCATGAAGAAAGATTGTTTACATACATAAGTATACAAGTATGGGCTGGTGAGATGGCTCAACGGTTAAGAGCACTGATGGCTCTTGCAGAGGACCCGGCTTCGATTCCCAGCACCCACATGGTGGCTATGAACTGTCCTTAACTTCAGTTCCAGGGGAATCCAAAGCCCCCTTCTAACCTCCGTGGGCCATGACATGCACACATGATAACTAAACAAGAAACTGCTACAGCTCTTCCAGACCTGCTCCTACCTATTTCTTGGTTTTACTTTGAATGAGTCCAACCAGGCCTCTTCTTCAAACTTCCCAGAAGTCAGCTTTTTTCACAGAGAGGGTAACGGGACTCTGGAGCACTGAGCTGTCTATTCTTGGGATTAAGTTTCAGAACCAAGAAATCATTGATTTTTTTGGTTTGTGATAATTGAGCCATATCCTGAACCTCAGACCTCAGAATAATTTTTCAAAGCAGAATGGACAGAGTCATAGTCTAGCCTGTCTTTTCGCCTCTAAGCTATGGTGTAGGCTGAGGGGCTCTCCTACAGACTCTGGAAGATGGACTGGGAAGTTTCTCAGCTTGCTGACTTTTTTTCCAAGTAGTCTCCAGTCACAGTAAGGACAGCATGTTTCTTCTGTCCTAAACTGGAAGGACCCATTTTTGTTTGTTTTGAGACAGGGTCTCCCTGTAGCCCTAGCTGGCCTGAAACTCACTAGGTAGACCAGGTTGGCCTCAGTCTTCTAGAGATCTGCCTGACTCTGCTTCATGAATTCTGGGATTAAAGGCATAATGCCACCATATCTGGCTATTAATTTTTATTTATGTGTCCTCATGTGTGTGCATGCCCATGGAAGCCAGAAGAGGGTTTCAGATCCCCTGGAGCTGGAGGTAAAGGCAGTTATCAGCCACCCTACATGGCTGCTGGAAACTAAACTCAATCCTCTGCAAGAGCAGCAGGTGCTCTTAACTGCTGAGCTATCTCTCCAAGCCCATAAAAACCCAATTTATTTGAGCATATAAAATCATTTAATTTGCCCTTTGACTGTAGATCATGACTAACACTCAGGTAAAGCCTACCCCTCAATTAACCTGAGTACCTTTATTCTTAGTTCTTTTTCTTATAACACTCACACTGTCATCACTATATATACAATACATGGTTAAAATAATTACTCTGGATAAATGAATGAGCAGTGTATGCACACTATTCATCAAAAAGTTAAAAAGGGACAGGGATTAAATAATGGCAAGGGTGGGCTGGGAATATAGGTCAGTGGGTAGAGCACTGGCTTAGCCAGCATAAGAACCTAGTTGGATTGCCACCATCACAAAAGTAGTAGCAGTAGCAGCAGCAGTAGCAGCAGCAGCAGCAGCAGCAGCAGCAATGTTAAGGATGATGGTAGGAGTTCTTTTTTTAAGCCAGACATGATAACTCAAACCTATAATTCCAGCACTTGGATGAGAAAATTGCCATGATTTTGAGCCTAGACTGGGCTACACAGTGAATTCTAGGCCAGCCTGGGCTACAATGTGAGATCTTGCCTCAAACAAAACAAAATACAAAAGCAAGCCAGCATGATGACACAAGCCTATAATTCTAGCCCTGGGAGGTGGAGACAGGAGGATCGGGTATTTGATGTTACCCTCAGCTACACAGTGAGCTACACAGGTTCCTAGACTACATGAGACTTGTTTAAAAAAAGAAAGCAAGGAGATAATAATATCCAAGTGGAAAACAGTATGACTAGTTCATTTGGCATGGCTGGTTCAAGTAGCATGCCCTCCCCCAAAAAAAGCACAAATTTGACTTCTTTAAGAACCCATCACAAGGGGCCTGGAGAAATGCCTCAGCGGTTAAGAGCACTGGCTGCTTTTACAGAGGACCCAGGTTTGGTTCCTAGCACCCACATGATGGCTAATAACCATGGATTAACTTCAGTTCCAGGGGATCTGATGCCCTCTTCTGGCCCCTGTGTGCATTGTATGCATGTGGTACACTTATGTATATATAGGCAAAAGACTCACATTTAAAAAAAGAAAAAGAAACCATCACACTTACAACCCAGAACCCATTCTGACAAGCTGTTTCACAAATGACTACTAGTTTAAAAGACAGAATAGCCAAGGATAAAGGTGACTTGGTACAGTCTCTTTTTTCTTACTAAGGAAACAACCAAAGTTAGCTTAAAAACAAAACATTGAAAAAAGGACAGCACACACACAAGACATTAAAAAGCTCAAGCTCTGAGGGTTGCACACACGGTCAAAAGAAATTCTACTTTTCTTTGTGTGTGTGTGTGTGTGTGTAAATTTTTTAAATTTATTTATTCTTATTTTGTGTGTCTGAGTGTTTTGCCTGCATGTATATAAGTGCACCACATGTGTGCAATGCCCATGGAGGACAGAAAAGGACACTGGATGCCCTGGTGTTGGAGTTATGGACAGCTGTTAGCCGCCATGTGGGTACTAGGAACTGAACCCAGGTCCTCTGCAAAGAGTAGTCAGTGCTCTTAACTGCTGAGACATCTCTCTAGCCCCCTTCTCCCTTTTTACTGAGCTTTGGACAAATGGGCCATAGGTAAAAGTAGAGCATTATCACACCAACCTGAATGGGTCAGTAAGCAGCATCCATCCCATTGAACTTTTCCTGAAGGGAAACCATTTGTTGACTTTTAAGATCAATGATCCTAAACTGGGCATGATGACATGTAATTCTAGTGCTTGGACAATCTGAAGCAGAATCATCACAAGTTTGAGGCCAGCCTGGGCTATACACTGAGACCCTATATCAAAACAACAACAACAAAAAAAAAACAAAACACCAAAACCAAGCCAAAACAAACAAGATCAGTGATCAATAAGAGCCTATCTTTTGGGGCCAGTGAGATGGCCACTTGCCACCAAGCCTGACAAACCTGAGTCAGATCCCTGGAACTCATGACGGAAAGGGAGAACAAACTCCTGCAAGCTGTCCTCTGACATTCATACATATGCTGTGGCAACTGATGTTTTTTTTAAAAAAGCCAGGGCTGGAGAGATGACTCAGTAGGTAAATGTGCTTGCCACTAAGCCTTAAACCTGTGTTCCATCTCTCACACATATGGTAGGAGGAGAGAATGGACTCCCACAGGTTGTCTATGACCTCCACAGGTGTGCTGTGGTATGTGCACCCCCCCCCGACACAAACAGAAATGTTTAAAATTTAGAATGTTAAATATTTAAAAGTTCCTTCCTCTGAGTGATAAAATTCCCTGAGGCTCCAACAATGGCTTGAGAAATTGCCTTTTTAACAATGCAGTCTAGAAATGAGTGTGTGTGTGAGGGTAGTACAAAAGGAAAACTGGAATAATTTAAACATCACTTTCCCTCTCTTTTAACCATTCTACTTCAGAATCTATCTACCACTTACCCTAATTCTGGCAGTAATTCAGAGGCCAGGAAGAGAGAAGAAACATAAGAAAAGTTAATCTAGAAGCTCAGAGAGCTACAGAATCATGAAAAAGTAGTGCGATATACAAGTTCCTTATAAATTGTGGAATGATTCTACCTAATTGCTTACTCTCTCCCTCAAATCAAAGGCTGGATATATAAGTAGTGACCAGGAAAAACAAACAGGGATTTTTAAAACAAACCACCAAGCAACCAGGCATGGTGGTACATACTTGTAATCCTAACACTTGGGAGGTAGACGTAGGAGGATTAGGAATTCAAGGTCATCTTCTACGTAGTAAATCTTCTACATAGTAAACCAAGGCCACCTGGGCTACATGAAACCCTGTCTCTAAAAACAAAACACCACCACCAAAACCCATCAAGCATGGGAAAACAATGTTGAGATTCCACAAACTGACATAGTTGCTTTTTTATTTTCCTCTAGCAGTTTCCAAAAGGATTAGGGTCCTCAGGAGAATGTATTCTAAAATGAGACCCAGGAACTGGCTCTTAGCTCTTAAGAAAACCTGACATATTTTCATCTAATGAGCCTTTTAAGCTTAATATACTACTCCCAAGACTGTTCCATGAAGCTGTTATCCTGAACAAGGCAACAACAGCTGGTTCTACTTCTCTTTCTGAGTCAGTCTGAAAGCTATACGTATGCGCTTTTAACAGGAAAAACATTTTTTTTTTTAAGTTTTTTGAGACAGTTCTCTGTAGCCCCTGGAACTATCTGTGGACCAGCAAGCCTTGATCTCATGGAGATCTGCCTACCTCTGCCTCCTGAGTACTGGGACTAAAGGCATGTGCCACCACATCTGGCCTCCAAACATTTTTATATTAGCCTTTCATACCAGTGGGTACATGTTTCAAGAGAAATAAACACGTGCCAGGGCAAGATGGTTCATGCTTGTAATCCCAGCACTCAGGAGGCAGGGGCAGGAAGATCAATATAAATTTGAGACGGCCTATTTTTAAAAATATTTTATTTATTATGTTTATTTTATGTGTATGAGTGTATTGCCTGCATGTATGTAAGTATACCCTTCTCATGCAATGCCCGAGGAGTCAGAAGAGGGCATTGGATTCCCCTGGAGCTGTAATTAAGGATGGTTGTTAGCTGCCATGTGGGTTCTGGGAATCAAATCCGGGTCCTCTACAAGAGCATTTGGTACTCTTAACTGCTAAGCCATCTGTCTAGCCCCAAAGCAGCCTGATTTATATAGTGAGTTCCAAGTCAGCCAGGGCTACATATAGAGACTCTTAAAAATATATAGGGGCTGGAGAGATAGCTCAGCATTGAAGAATATTTGCTGCTCCTGCAGAGGACCTGAGTTTGGTTCCAGCACCCACATCGGGCTGCTCACAGCCACCTGTAATTCCAGCTCCAGGGAATCTAACACCCTCTTTTGGCCTCCCAGGGCACCTGCACTCATATTGCACCACCCCCTATAAACATAACATGGACTGGAGAGGTGGCTCAGAGGTTTAGAGCACTTGCTGTTCTTGCAAAGGATCTGTGTGTGTTACATTCCCAGCTCCCACTTGAAGGCTTACAACCAAATATAACTTCAGTTCCAAGGGACCTGATGCCCTCTTCTGACCTCCACAAGCACTGCATGCATATGGTGCACTTACATACATGCAGGCACTCATACATATAAAACAAATAAATCTTTAAAATAAATAAATCTAACAAAATAAAACAAAACAGGGTTTTGAATAGTGGTTAAACGGTTACTGCTCAGTGGTTAAGAATAGTTACTGTTCTTACAGAGGATCTGGGCTCTGTTCCCAGTACCCACATCATGGGGCTCATAACCACCTGCAACTCCAGTCCTAAGGAATCCGACACCTCTGGTCTCCAAGGCACATGTATGCATGTGGTGCACATAAACTTACTTGAACACACATAAATAAAAAATAAAGACAAGAATTTTTTAAATGAACAACAAACAAAACCAAAAAGAGAAATAGAGACTATAGATAGCTTTTCTAAATTAATTCAGAGAAAAAAAAATCAAATGCTTCCAAAAGCCAAGGGAGAAGCGCAAGTCAATTCTTAATCTGAAAACAGTAGAAATAAAGGTTGGTAGAAATCTAATACATAAACAAAATTTAAAATTCAAAAAATTAAAATTTAAAAGTCAAGCCCATATTTAACTCTTTCATCCTGTTTATTCCTAAAACTAGCAATCAACAAAATACATTAGCTAATTTGAATCATGTTCCTCCTTGACCCTGGCTCAGGATAATAACATCAACGCATAGATGGCCCTAAGAAAGCTAACAGAAGCACAAGTACAGTCACTGCTCCTCAGATTATCAAGCCATTCATCTTGTTCACATTTTCCAAGTTCATCCTAGTTCTTTATCTAAAATGTTTTAGAGTACCTAAAACAAAACTATACTCTATGGGCCATTAAGACACTTAACAACTGTTTGAAATGGCTGTCCAGCTTGTTTTAAGTGAGCCTTCATCCCACATATGACACCACCACAAATACCAGGGGGAGCTCAGAAAAACAGTTCTGGGACATGAGGTACAGACAACTGGAAGAAATTATCAAAAGTTTATGGAGTCTATCCACTTTTTTCTTTAAAAAATAAAGATTTTATTTATTTATTATAGTGTATGTGTATGTGTGTGTGTGTGTGTGAATGTATGTGTGTCCATGAGCCCTCAGAAGCCAGAAGAGGGTGTTAGATCCCCTGGTACTGGAGTTACAGGGAGTTGTAAGTTACTTAATATGGTGCTGGGAATCAAACCCAGATCCTCTTAAAGAGCAACAAGTGCTCTTAACTGATGAGCCATTTCCGCAACCCCACCCTTTTTTTTTCTTGACAAGGTTGGTTCTGCTATGGCATATCACGGTGAGTGTCTGAAAGACAGTAGAACGGGAACTAGGCCAAGAGCTAAGGGATCTGGGATCTTAGTTCTACCATCATCTTGTGTGAGGTCTCAGAAAATGCATGCACCTGGCTAGAAAAATCTCTAAGGACCATTCCTAGTACAAAGATGATCCTATGTGCAAGAAATAGAAAGTGAAAGAGTTCACTTCACCTGTCCTTTTTTCTCTAAGAAAATAAGGGCATGACACACCAGTTGGTACTGCCAATTTTGTTTGGTTTCATTTTTGTTTTTGTTTGTTGAGACAGGGTCTCAACAAAGTTCAAGGTTGGCCTTGAACTTTCAATTCTACTGCCCCAGCCTATAGAGAGCTGGGAGTACAGGGGTCCACCAGTATATCCACTACAGTCATTTTTTTTTTTTTTTAAAGAACCCAGAGGTACTATGTGACTTGAAATAATGCATAACTTGTTAGCATCAGGTAATTCAGGAATATTAACTGTCTTTCCTACTCCATGGCTGTGGGGAAAGCAAGTCACCTAGGTCTCCTAATCAAGTGTGCAACATTAGTTACAAAGGCCTACTGACTGCATAAAGTCCTTTGTTACGTGCGGGTTCTGCAAACAATAAGAGGTAAGTTATAATACAACATCCAAATTATTCTACTAAGTTCCATCCACCACCACTTGTTGATTTGCATCAGAAGCAAAGAATCCAAATGATAGGAGGAAGTTAACGTTGCCGATTGGGATTGAAATCCTGATGGGGGACCATCAGTCCCCCAACTAAGTTGGGGACAGGCAATGGGAGACCAACTGTAATGAAGCCGGTCAGTTACACCTCCTTTTTCTTCTGGGCTGCCTGGAGCAACCTACAATTAATTACAGGGTGCAAATGGACAGCGGCTTCGGGGATCAAGCTTGCTGGTGGAGAGGAAAAAATGGAGTCTAAAGAGAAAGTAACTTAATCAGGGTGACGCAGCGGGGCCCTGCTTCTGGAAGCCTACGGCGGTGACACCAGGCGAGGCTAGGGGTTCAGGAGCCCCGCGACCTGGGACGGCGGGAGGGAGACAACTGCACCAAGGTCCTGGCTCGGGTCAAGGGTGGCCCCCGGCCCGAGCCGCCTCCCGCAGTCACAAGCGCTGCCGCCCCGCCCTCCTCTGTCTGGCTAGCCTCCCGGGCCGCCAAGGCGCTCCAGGCCCCGGGGAACTCCCGCTGACCGGCGCCCTAGAAGGGCACTGAGGCGAAAGCAGAAACCACCCTGTGGCCTGCCTCCGTCCCCGTCTCAAGGCGAGAAGTCTGAATTTGGGGAACTCAAGGGCCCAACTGTTCCCTTTTTCTTCAGGGACTCACCGGGGACAGCAGCCAGCAGCGGCGCAGCAGCAACAGGGTACCCAAAAGCCCGTGGGCGGAGCTAAACACCCGAGGATCGGGCAGGCCCCACCCACAGCGTCACAACAGTCAGTAAGCCCCGACCCCGCTGCGCGGACCTCTGGGACTTGTAGTGCTTAGGTGACCTGTCCTGGCGCGGTCAGGGGCTGGGTTTGCTTTCATTCTCCTTAGAGAACAAACTGTCTTTTATTTTAACTGTTGTTTTGTTTTGTATTGCTTTAGTTTTTATTTCTTTCGTAATATACGCAAAGCTGTATATTCTTTAAAGGGGCATTGAGAGTTTATCTTATTTCTCTTGCCTCCACTACCAGTCCTATAGATGACACTCTGACATTTAATCCTACCTCATAAGAAGCCAGGTTTGGACAGGGCGCGCATGCCTTTAATCTCAGTACTCAGGAAGCAGAGGCAGGCGGATCTCTGTGAGTTTAAGACCAGCTTGGTTTACATAGTGAGTTCCAGACCAGCTGGAGCTACAGGGAGACCCTGTCTCAAAAAGAAAAAAAAAAAAAAAAAAAAAAGCCGGGCTTAACTGCAATTACAGCATTTAGAGCTGGAGACAAGAGGATCAGGTGTCCAGGGCTAGACTTGGCTACATAGCTAGTCGGAGGTCAGACTGGGCTAAATGAGAGCTTGTCTCCAAAAAAGAAAAAACTAAACAAAACAAAACCCTGCCTTATACCTGTCTCTAAGGAAATATGTAAATTGTCCCAGTTTCCTAGTTTCTGTGTTTTTGTCTACATGTATGTATGTGTACTGTTTGCATGCCCAGTGCCCCTGGAGTCCAGAAAGAGGGTGCTAGATCCCCTGGAACTTGAGTTAAAGACTGTTGTGAGCTACCATGTGGGTGCTGGGAACTGAACTCAGATCTTCTGCAAGAGCAGCAAGTGCTGTTAACTGCTGATCCATGTCTCTAGCCCCTCTGTTTTGTTTTGCTTTTTTTGTTGTTGTTGTTTTGTTTTTGGTCTTTTTGAGACAGCATCTCCCTGTAAATTTTATTTAAGATGGTCTCTTATAGCCCAGGCTGGCCTTGAACTCAATATGTAGCCAAGGTTGACCTTGAACTTTAGATCTTCCTGCTTCCACTTCTCATGTACTGGGATTATAAGCATATGCCACCACACTGGTCTCTATTATTTTCCATCCATTGACTTCCTCATTCTACTTATTGATTATAAATCCTTTATTGTATTCAGAGATTGAGTGAAATCTCCCTCCCCTTTAGTCTTGAAAAAAATTATCTTTATTTTTTTATGTATGTTTTGCCTCTATGTATGTAAGTGCACCACAGGTGTGCCTAGTGCCCATGGAGGCCAGAAGAGGCCATCAGATCCTCTGGAACTGGAGTTAAGGAGGGGTTTTAGCTCCTATATGGGTGCTGGGAACAGAACTCAGGTCCTTTGGAAGAGCAGTAAGTGCTCTTAACTGCTGAGCCATCTCTCCAACCCTGAATAAAGTCTTCTTAACCATTTTAATAGGGTCTCACTGTGAATCTATCCTAAAAAGACCTTCAAGTCAAAGCAGTCCTCCTGCCTTATCCTCTCAAATGCTAGGTTCACAGGTAAGCCACCTCACTGGTTACCTTTTTAAAAAAAATTATACAGAAGATACTAAATGCATGCTGTCTGTGGACGGTTCAGTTTAGAAGTGCCCCTTCTCAAAGAAGTACTAACTGTTTGAATCTGGAAGGAAATCCTTTGTGCCACATACCCAGGACATTATGCCCTGAAGTAGCTTTAGGATTCATGTAGGGGAAGCATTCTAATGCTACCTCCCCATGAGCCTGATAGCATTCAACTAAGATGAATGGGCATTGGGAAATGTTGGGTAAAGCACAGAATGGGCAGCTGTCTAAAGTTCAGATTCATTCCACATTATCAAAACAATACTCTTCTATTTTAAACTCTGTTTACAGGAACAAATGCCCTGCTATCCTGGATACATTTACTTTCGTTTTACTTATAGTCCTTCCTTCCACTCCTTTATCCTCAAGGGGAATGGGTTCCAAAAACTCTGGTGGATGCTGGAAACCCCAGAAGGTATCTGTCAAGCCATACATATGCCGTGTTCTTTCTCATACAAACCTATGATAAAGTTTGATTTATAAATTAGTGACAGCAAAATAATGATAGTTATACAGTTCTAACAATAACCATAATAAGATGGCTAACACCACTATTCTTGTTCTTTGGGACCCCGATTTAATAAAGTAAGATTTATTTGAACACAGCATTGTGATACTGAGATAAGATGGTTACTAAGGTATACAGTGTGGTTCTGAGCAAAGTGATAGTTCACTTTTTTTGTGAGATTTCTTCATGCTACCCAGAACAGTGCACAATTTAAAATGTCTAAGTTGTTTATTTCTGGAGTATTCCATTTAATATTTTCAGATAGGGCAAGGCATGGCGATGCAGCACCTTTAGTCCCAGCACTCAGAAGGCAGAGAGGCAGGAGAATCTCTGTGAGTTCAAAGCCAGCCTGGTCTACATAGAGTTCTAGTCCACCCAGGGGTACATAGTGAGACTGTCTGAAATAATAAATAAATTAAGTATTTTCAGGCAGCCTTTGGTTTTAAGTGACCCATCCCCCAGGGAACTACTAATATTAAGTTTTCTAAAAGCATTGAAACCTGAAGCTACATATCTTACTTGGTGCATTAACATGACCAGTATTTCAGGAAATATTTTCTGGAAGTTAAAAAAATGCAAATAAATTGTTCACTAGGAATTTCCTAAAAGAACCACCACTAGAAAGCATCTAATGACAATTTCCTGTGTTCCAAGACTCTTTTAGAATCCCCTGGCTGTAAAATACTTCCTCTGTTCTGTATACCAATCATGAGCCTTAGTAAATCCTGTTCATTCCCACCTCCCATTAAAAGAACTCTTCCCTCTAAAACCAAATTCGAAGTCTCAAAATACACCACTACTCTGTCTTTACTGCTCTGAGCAGCTGTGACTATCAGTGTGCTAAGTGATGCTGTGAGAAAAACAAAGCTCAACTTTTTAATGTAGGATTTGGTGGTGTGCACCTGATCCCTTGCGCCTCAGAGTTCCAGGCCAGCCTGGGCAACATAGCAACATCCTTTTTCTTTCTTTCCTTTCTTTCTTTCTTTCTTTCTTTCTTTCTTTCTTTCTTTCTTTCTTTCTTTCTTTCTTTTTCGGTCTTTTTGAGACTTTGAGACAGGGTCTCTCTGTAGCCTCAGCTATCCTGGAACTCACTATGTAGACCAGGCTGGCCTTGAACTCACAGAGACCCACCTACCTGTGGCTCCCAAGTGCTGGGATTAAAGGTATGCGCCACCATGCCCAGCTCAAGATCCTTTTTCTAAAACAAAGAAACAAAAAACTCACCCCCCCAATAAAACTTTGATCAACAAGTTATTGCATTAACATTATTTATTTTTATTTGTTTATGCTTATTTTATGTGTATGAGTGTTTTGCCTTTATATATGTAAGTGCGCCTGTGTCATGCCTGTGCCCTTGGAAGACAGAAGCAGGCATCATAATCCCCTGGAACTGCAGTTAACAGTTGTTAACTACCATGTAGGTGCTAGAAACTAAACCTGTGTCCTCTGAAAGAGCAGCCAGTGCTCTTAACTGCTGAGCATCTCCCCAGCTCCTCATTATTATTGTTACTGTTATTATTGTTACTTTGTTCTTTTTGAGACAGATTCTATGTAGCCCTGACTGGCCTGGGACTCTCTATGTAGGCCAGGCTGGCGTCTATCTCACAGAGATCCACTTGCCCTCTGCCTCCCGAGTGCTGAAGGTAAAGGCATGTGCCACCACATTTATTATTTTTATGGGTATATATGTATGGCTGTTTAGTATTTTTATGGATATATGTATATGTCTGCTTGAGTTTGTGTGTACTGTGTATGTGAAGAAGCCTGTAGAAGCCAGAAGAGAGTGTTGGATCCCCTGAAACTGGAATTACAGGAAATTGTGAGCAGCCATGTCGATGCTGGGAACAGAACCTGGGTCCTCTGCAAGAGCAGCCAGTGCTCTTAATCAATGAATCATCTCTCTAGTCCTCATTAACATTTTGAGAAGCTGAGATAGCACAGAATAACAAAGTTAATTAGTCTAATTTATTACTGAAAGAAATGGCAAGGGAAGGCTGTTATTGACTCTTTGTAACTGAATATTGAAAGCAGGGGAACTGTATTCAGATCTACAGAGAAAATATTGTGTTTCCATCTTCAACTACTAGATACTGAAGGCAAAAACAAAGAAAAGGGCTGGGAGGGGGTTTACTTTTCTAAGAATGTATTCTTGGGGTTTTGATGTAGTTCAGTGACAGAGTGCTTACAAGTGTGAAGCCCTGGGTTGGATACCCTGCACTCCTCTAGAAGAGGAGGAAGGAAGGAAGAAGGAAGAAGGAGGAAGGAAGAAGGAAGAAGGAAGAAGGAAGAAGGAAGAAGGAAGAAGGAAGGAAGGAAGGAAGGAAGGAAGGAAGGAAGGAAGGAAAGCCCTACGTGGTAGCCACAAATGGAGTCTGGGTCCTCTGCACAGAGACTCTGGTGTAAGTTTTCACATCATGGTTGATGAATTCCTAATAGGGAAGCATGGTAAACAGGGTTTCTTTCCAGAGGTCAGGGATCAGGCCGTTATTGGTCTTGGAGATAATATCAAAGGTGGCCTTGGCAAAGTTGCCCAGAGTGGCAGTGCAGCCCCTGACTGACTTGTAGCAGTGTGTAAAAGTCATCGACACCTGCCATCACCAGAAGCCTCCTGGGCACAGGAGCAGAGACAATGCAGTGAGTCTGGGGGCAGGGATGAAGCACACCAGCTAGAACCACAGAGACCTGCCACCTTGCATGGGACAGTGTGGGGCTCACCAGTCTTGTTCCCTCAGTAGCCTCTCCACACAGGAACAATGGAAAGCTTGGCCAAGAAAATAGTGCCTCAGATGGCCATGGCTACCTCTTTAGAGCATGTCACACCAGACCAACATGACCCTTGCAGTCCCCAATATTGATGGAAGCTTTGAACCTGATCGGTTGGCCAGTCTGAGGTTGCTTCTGCACTGG